CCCAAAAACTTCCTCAAATTAAAAAAAACTCCCAAAGTGAACTCATCCATTTTTTTTCTCTAAAATCCTTCTCTTGCCATTCTGTGCTTGAAAATTATTTCATGCCAATGATACTGTTCTAAGGTATTTTCAGTTTGGTGGCTTAAAGACCTGGGTGTACAGAAATAAAAATTGCATATGCATTCCACAGCCTAGAGAGAGCCAATAATAAATAGATGGTCACCAAATGATTGCACTCATAAAAACAAAAAGTCAAATATCTTAAAATGAAAAGAGGAAAAGAAATATTTCCTATTTGTCACATGTGAGACAGGTCATTTCTACCCAATCTCATTCTACAGAATGATAGGTCCACTTTAGAGAAACTGAGCTAAAGGTGTCTTCAAAGAGATGCCACATAGTGGTTAGGCCATCCATAGGACTGGGTAAGCTGTTGAAGCCAGGACTGTAATTTTAAGTGATTCTGACTGTTAGTTTAGAACTGTTATCACAACAGTTACTTCTGGAAGTCACAGAATTTCCTCATGGTGCCTCCCAAACTAAGTCCCACGAAGCACTGGGGTTACTAAGGTGATAAGTGTGTTACGAAAAATAAATGCTTGGTGGTTTAAAAGCTTGAGGCAAGTTCTTTTACATCATAATTTAAATATCTGCATTATTATTCTCTAAGCAACAAAACCACAAGTGTCCTGGTCTGTTAAATCATGAAATCTTCTGGTTATAAGAAAACCTAACAATAACACCCTGGGATGCATGTATTCAATGAAGCGCAGTTTGGAAAAGGACTTGTTCCATGACAAGTCCACGCAACAAGTTACTAACAGGGCCAGGGCTGCCCAAGATGGCCTGAGGATCCAGGCTGGTCTTTTCCAGAATCGTCCTGCCCTCTGGTAATACTATTGGTACAAAGTTCAACACCAATTTAAAAATGTATTAAATCAATTCTTTTTATTCTTTGTAATGGCAGTAAAGTGACACAAAAGTGAAAAATGTCTCCCACTGTACTGTTATTCATATACTTGGATAAGTTTGGGAACATAGCAATTATTTCTGCTTTAATAACAGAAATAATTAATGCTGAAGAACAATTTTCAGGCTCTGTTCTTACCTCTCTGTTCTTTTCTAGCTCTCTATCTCTCTCTGTTCTTTTCTTGTTCTCTCTGCTCTTTTCTAGCTCTTTTCTCTCCCTTTCCTCTCTTTCCCAGCCACGTGGAGTGCCAACCTTGCCTGGTCCCAGCAGGTCTACTGAATAAACCTACCCCTTACCTGAATACCACGTGCGTGCTGCAGTTCTTACTCGGCTACCTCTTTTTAAAAACCTAACATAAATGGTGCCGTGACTCGGATAAAGGGCTTAAAGTCAGGATAGCTGGGATTCCTCTCTGTTTTTTTCCTCTTTTTTCTTTTTTGTTTGTTTTTCCCTTTTTGCTCTGAGGAATAACCACAGTTCTGACAGCCTTTTGCGAACCAGTCTGTCTGCGGCGGAATCAGGGCATCCAATACCATTGCTGCCTTCACATCCACGTCCACACCACTTCTCTACTCTGCCCCTCAATGCTCATGAGACTTCTCTAGACTTCATCTAAGGACTCACGCCACCAAGGGACAGATGCTGCTCACTGCCTTCTCTGGGAGGGGACCAAATTCCAGCCTTTTACCCCTATTGTCGATGCCCCTTGTCAGCAGGAAGTAGCCAGAGAGAATCCGTGCCCTATTTCATGATTATTAAAAGGCTGGAATGTAAGGTCCACTCCTGGATGGCAAGCAGACTCCACCCTCCTCGCAGCAAAGTCTCCACCCAGTACCTGCGTTACCTAGGCAACTGGGACACCTGGAAGAGGTCACATCTGCATCCGCTGAGGTCACATCTGAATTTGATGTGGCCACACCTTTCTCTGCCCATACCCTAGGTAAGGCCTAGCGCAGGCCCAGGCTCTCTCTCTCTGTTCTATTCTAGCTCTTTCTGCTTTCTCTCTAGCTCTTTCCTCTCTCTTTCCTCTCTTTCCCAGCTCTCTCTCATTACCAGGCCTTTCCCAGCCATGTGGAGTGCCACCCTTGCCTGGTCCCATCAGGTCTACTGAATAAACCTACCCCTTACCTGAAAAAAAAAAACAAAACAATTTTCAGACAAGTAATGCAGTGAAACAGAAGTACAACCTCATTCTTAGATACCTAGTACTAGCATTTACTTTTTTTTTTTTTGCTCCAGTAGTGGGCCTGAACTCTGGGCCTGGGCGCTGTCCCACAGCTCTTTAGCTCAAGGCTAGTGCTCTACCACTTGAGTCACAGCGCCACTTCCGGCTTTTTTCTTTTTGCTTATGTGGTGCTGAGGAATCGAACCCAGGGCCTTAAGCATGCAAGGCAAGCGCTCTACCACTGAGCCACCTTCCTAGCCCAGTACTAGCATATACTTATGACTATCTTTGACACACAAAATTTAGACTTAAAGAGACAGCATATGTGCTAACATATATACAAAATGTTAATGATCAAATCAGGACAGTGAGCATTTCCATCTCCTCAAATATTTACATTTTTTACTTGTTGGGAACTTTAAAACTTTTATTCTTTAGTTACCACAGGTATCGTTATAAAGTTATTTCTGCATTGTTTTCCCGTTACCCTACTCATCTTCAAATGGCTTCCTAATGCCTCTAGCAAGTAGTGAACAGCCCTGAGTCAATAATGCCATCTGGTGGCTAGTTAAGAAATTACTTCCCCCAACACACCTTCCAATCAGGACCTCACTATTTGGTCCCTCCCCAAACCACTCTCCTTTCTTCTAATTCTTGTATTGCTCTCAGGAAAGCCTGTTCTTTTATGCCCTACTTACCAACTAAGTAATTATAATATCAATAATAACAACCATAGCAACACATTTTTACTGATAAGATGAAATGCTGTGTTACAGCAAAATCACACGTATGAAGTACATTTGCAACACCCCCAAACCAGTCTTGTCCTTTGAGAAATTGAATCTTTATTATTCATCCAATGGCTTCAAGAAATACCAATGCAACTGGGTGCCAGTGGCTCACACCTGTACGCCTAGCTACTCAGGAGGCTGAGATCTAAAGATCACAGTTTGAAGCCAGCCCTGGCAGAAAAGTCCATGAGACTCTTATCTCCAAATAAACTAATCAAAGAAAAAACAAAAGCTGGAAGTGGCCCTGTAGCTAAGCGGTAGAATGCTAGCCTTGGGTGAAAGAAGCTCAGGACAGTGCCCAGGCCTCAAAAAAAAAAACTAAAATAATTTTTTTTTAAAAAAGGACCTTGAAGATCACTGCCAGGTCAAAGATCTTTTATGGCTGATGAAACTGTTCCATAATTACCTGCCCCAACAGCACATCATAGAAGAGTTAATATAAAACCAGTAGTAACGCTCAGTTGTTCATTCCAAACACAGTAGGAGGCTCCAGGTTCAACACTGTTTCCACCATACAAGTAAAATACCTTTCAGTACTTTTACATTCTCATCTAGTCTTACTGACATTATGAATTTGCGGACAGGGCCCAGAACTAAATCTCCATATCCGTTTCAAATCAGGGTCAAGCGTATTTCAGACTTAACAACTATTTTTGTTGTTTATAACTGATTACTGTAGAGACTGCAAGTCAGGACACTTTCACCATACTATGCTGTAGTTAGGCTTTTGTCTGCCACTGTCATGTTTCTAAGGAAAATGACTCCCAGTAGTCACTACATCGTAACTTTGGGAACGCAATCCATTCAGAAATTTGAGACATTGGTAGTTTTGGTCTTCATCATCCTCTCCCAACCGCTTTTTTGAGACAGGTTATTTGTATGTACAGCCAAGGATGGCTTTGCACTTGTGATCCTTCTGCCTCTGCCTCCCAGATTCTAGGATTATATGCTAGCACCACTGCACCAGGAGTTAAGGAGTTTGCTAAGTTTCCTTGCCAGATCAGTCTTGACCAAACAAGAACGAGGCTGGGGGGTGGGTTTAGCATGGCTTAGACTAGGAAACAAAAATTAACCAACTTTGGATAGAAAGGTTAGGCCTAGTTGCATTATAACCACAGAGTTTGGGCAAGCTTTGAATCTTCCCCCATTCATGAATTCTTGGAATCTTCAACTCCCATTTCCTGCATGAAGAGCAGGAAACATTTTCCTCAGTGTTTCTATTTCTCGCTATGTCAACCCTTTTATAATAAATCCTTGCTAAAACTTAAATTAGGAGGACACCTAATAAGGTGAGTCGCTCCGCTGGGGGGGGGGGGCTTCGATTTGTGGAGGGTGGGAGGGCCACTGTCCCCAGGATGGAAGGACCTGCGGGGTGCAAACTTGTGCCTCAGCCAAGTTCTGTCTTGTGGCTGCCATGACAATCCTGGGGACATTTTCCAACCACCTTTTTTCCCACTAAGCGGTGGGACCCCAGGCCTGGCTGGAAGGGGGGGGGGGGGCGCTGTGGTGTGGAGAGTAGGTGTGGGAGGCTGGGGAGGGGGGGCTCACATAGTTGGGGTATGGAAGCCTGGGGAGCTGGGGGGGAAGGAGGGGGGCTGAGGAGCAGGACTCAAGCGTGACCTCCAGGCTGTGGGGTCGGGGTGTGGAGGTGTAGTGTAGTGTGACCCCAGGCTGTGGGGTCGGGGTGGAGTTGTGGGGGGATTCGGTGTGGCCCCAGGCTGCAGGCCGGGTGTGATGGTGCGGTAGGGTGTGGAAGGTTGGGGCGCAGGGGTGTGACCCTGGGGCACAGGCCGGGTGTGGAGGGTTGTGGGGGGCTGCGGGAGGCCCGGCCCCGGGTGGGGTGTGCGAGGCCTCGCGCGCCCCGCAGGCGGTTGGCTCGGCGCGGGGTCCCCGGCCCTCCGCCGGGGGGAGGGGTGTTCTGATGTGTCCCCCACGCCCCCGTTTGCGGGTCGCGGGCCCCCGCGTGCGGGAAGGCGGCCCGGGCCGCGCGGAGGGCCCGCGCGGGGCGGCACCGGGACCCCGGGTGCCCTCCCGGGTCCCTGGCCCGGCGCGGCTCCCCCCGCCAGCAACTTACTGAAGAAGAGGCGGTAGTCCAGCGTGTGGGGCCGGCCGCGCTCCTCCGTGCCGAACCCGGCCATGGCGCGGCGCGCCCCGCCGCCCGAGCTCGCTCCCCGCGGCGGGCAGGCGGCCGCGGGCCCCGCGCGCCACCCCCGGCCCGCGCGCAGCAGCGAGCGCAGCGCGCGCATGGCGTAGACTGCGGGCCGGACCGGCGCGCCGCGACGTGGCCGGGGAGGGAGGAGCGGGGCCGGCCGCGCGCGCGCGCCCCCTGCCGCCCGGAGGCGTTACTGCGTCTGCCTGCCCGTGTGGCTTGCCTCGCGCGCCGGGACTCTCGCCCCAAGGGAGAAGAAAAGCCCGGCACCACTGGCTCCTGCCTGTAATCCTGGCTACTTGGGAGGGCTGAGGTTCGTGGATCAAGGTTCAAAGCGAACCAATGTCGATGAGTGTATCTTCAGTTAATTCTCAAAAAGCCTGGAAGTAGAGCTGTGGCTCAGGTGGTGCAGTGCCGGCCTTGAGCAAAAAGGTAAGAGACAGTGCCAGGCCCCAAGTTCAATCCCCAGGAGCGACACACACACACACACACACACACCATTTATGGCAGCGTGGCTCCAAGTTATAGTGCACCTGCCTAGCCAATGTGACTCTGGTCAGCTCAAACACCAGTACCTCAAAACAGACACAAAACAATGATGCACGAGACAAGCCTACCATCCCTGAAGAACTGTCATTCATTTACTTGAACTTGCTCATTCATTTACCCCATCAATATTCACCATCTCAACATTATTATTATGTTATTATTATGTGGTCACTCTATGCCAGGAACTATTGTGGACTAACCCATGTCCAACACAGGAGAAAACTGTGTACAACCATCAATATAAGACATAAGTAGGCCTTCTTATGAAACTTTGACCTTGACATGACCTTCCAAATGCCACCTCCTCCTAATATTCCCCTTGAATATTTAAAGATGACGTTCCCCACATTGCATGAACTAGTTTTCTTATATCCCCTTGGACAGTGCTTAGGGTAATGGCCACAATGAGTATCCTTTATCTGGGATGGTTATGGGCCACTCTAACAATTGGAGCCATAAGCCACACTTACTACAGAGAGGCAAATGGTGTTAGGCAGCAAAGGACAGTGTGCCACAAATGGCATTTCCTTACTGTATACTAACTTCATCAAGGAACCTCTAGAATACTACAGAGACATTTGTAGAATTCTAGAGGTTTCTACTCCAGAGGTGAACAGAGCCCACTGCAGTGCCTTGATTGGGCATGTATTCCTTGAGATAATTAAATAGTGATAGTTAACATTAGAAGCCTGGTCCTTCCAGGTTCCAAAGGGTCTGGCCCTTGAAGGAGTCACTAACCGCTCAGACTCTCTACTTCAATTGTAGTTCCAATAATAATAATAATAAATAGTAATAAGTATTCATAGTAATAGTTATTATTATTCATACTAGGATTTAACTCAGGGCCTTGCACTTTCCTGGATGGCTTTATCACTGGAGCCACCTGCACCCCCAGCCCTGTTTTGGGCTGGTTAATTTGGAGATGGACCCTAAAAGATTTTTTAGCCTAGATTAGCTTCCAATCATAATCCTCTGGAGATTAGCCTTCTAAGTCACTAGAATTACAAGCATGAACTAAGGATGTATGGCCTAAAATATTTTTGTCAACGTGGGTGGCTTTATGATGTGTCAAGTTGACTAGGCTAAATGACAAGGCAAATGCTCTAATAAATTGTGAAAACATTGTTTTTGTGCATATATCACAGTACATCACAGTGGTGTATAATTGTATTATTTATGTTAAAAAAAGATCTTTGAAGATCACATGTTTCAGGAAGGCAAATTCCTACTGAGAAGTTGTGAGTTCATAGCCAGTGGTCTAGTGTTTAAGAAACATAAAATAAAACTTTCTCTGCATCTGATTTTTATTATTTATTTATTTATTTATTTTTGTCAGTAGTTGGGCTTGAATTCTGGTTCTGGTCACTGTCCCTCAGCTCTTCAGCTCAAAGCTAGCCCTCTACCACTTGAGCCACAGCACCACTTCTGGTTTTTTGAGTGGTTTATTGGAGATAAGAGGCTCACAGAATTTTGTACCCAGGCTGGCTTTGAACCATGATCCTCAGATCTCAGCCTTCTGAGTAGCTAAGATTACAGGCGTGAGCCACCAGTGCCTGGCTTGCATCTGATTTTTAGACAAATGGCTTCAGGATATTAGAAGCAATGGCTTTATATAGAAAAACAGTGAAAAGACAAATTTTCTCAAAGCATTATTCCTCAAATGAACACCATTGCCTTTATCCTAACTCACATACTGATTCATGGGAAAGTCTAGCACATAATTCCAAGACCGATATGGGTAGTGGCTTTCATCAGCTCTGACAGGACTAAACTAACCTCATAAGTAATGGACGCATTATGTTCATTCTGATTTGAAGAAACCCATAGAGATATGAGTTTGCACCTGGGCTCCAAACCATTAGGCATCCTATGTAAGATGATCTGGTCCCCTGTGGCCACCCCATGGAGATGGTCACCTTTTCAGAAAAACTGGCAAGTGCACTATTATATTACTGGTTTTATGACCTGAGAACAAAACAATCCATCAAAGCATGGTTAAAGGTGACAAGAGGATTTTATTTACACTATTTACACCAGAAAGGGGACCTGCGACTACTGTGTCCTGGGTTAGCTACCCAGAACCAAGAATGGTCTCAACCACCTAACCTCCAAGTCACCAATGGGCAGCCCTGACCTTTATTAGTTGGTCTGCAAACCTCCAAACCCCAGACCTCTGAAAGCTCCAAACCTCCAAAGGGGAAGGCTTTTCCTTTTTCTTTCTTCCTCCTTCTCTGCAGGCTTCTCCAATTTCCACAGGCCTCTCCCTGGGCCTCTCTATAGGTCTCTTTGCAGGCCTCTCCACAGGCCTGCCCTGCTCTGCTCCAATAGTGGCCTCTCCACAGGCTGCAGGCCTCTCCACAGGCCTGCCCTGCTCAGATAGTTGCCTCTTGCTGTCTCTCCCCACCATCTCTCTCTACGGAACCCCCTACCCACTCAGAATACACAGCCTATATATAGGCTGCACCCCTCCCCCACTCCAATGGCTCTAAGAGTTTCAACAGCCACTCAAGCTGCCCACTGTCCAACCACTTCTTGACACTTCTTGACAGCCTGCCCCCGTGGGGCAGCCTCAATGCCTTCCTCCCTCCAGTGATGGCCAGCGGAGTGGTGAGGCCAGCTTCTTGACGCCCCACCCCCTCCAAGCAATAGGCTGCAGGGCGATGATGTCAGCATGGGGCGGGCTTTCACCCCACTGGTTATTACACTGGAGCTATTTGGTCTGGATTTATTTCAAAGCCAATGTCTAATTTCACCTTATTGAGAGTTTAGACCCTTTTTTTTGGCTGCCCACACCTCCACTAGCTTAATGAACAAAGCCTATATTCTCACAGCTCATTTTTTTTGAAAAGGTTTCTGAACCCCTAATATAAAATCTCAAAATTCTTTTAAGATATATACAGCTATTCAAGAGCAGCAATCTTTAGTTCTCCTTCTCAGGGCTTTAAAAAATGTAAATAGGATGAGTTTCTGAATGAATCAGTATTTCACTGATAATCACTTTCTCTTTGTATTTCATACATTGCATAGATCTACCAATTCCATTCCTATATGATATTTCAGCAGGGCTTTTATATTGTATGTTTGAAAAGATAACTCAACTTAAACTTTAGTACCAAGCTCTGGGTACTGTATTTAAAGAAAGTACATGTGAGGTCCAAGTGAAAAGGAAAATTCCCATGTGTCTGAAACCTTTGACAGACAAAATGATGAATCCCTAAAACCATTCTGATGGCTCAGTCTTTTTTTTTTTTTTTTTTTTTTTTTAATTTAATTTTATTTTATTTGTGAACATACTGTTCAGAGGAGTTACAGTTACATGGGCAGGATAATGTGTACATTTCTTACCAAGCATTGCAGCCTCCTCCTTTGTTTATCCTTCACATCCCTTCCCAGCCTCCCCCCTCCCCCCCTAATCCCAATCCTTCTCCTTCCTCCCTCCCCCCAGCCCCCCCCCCCACCAACATTGTAAAGTTCGTTTTGGACATGACAACTTGTACTTCTCATTGTTGCAACAGGTCCACCTGTATCCTTAAACAACTGGTTTTTCCCCATCTCCTCCACAAGTTATACTGACATCAAATATAGTGAAAGCAAGGGTTATACTGTGGGGGAGGGACATACAAAGCAACAAAGAGATAATCTTATAAATGTGTTAGAAACACATGCATGAAAGAAAAAAACATTAAAATACACATCTAAGGGTTCATTTTCCTGACATCACATTATCTGACCTTTTCCGCTTGACTCATACATATACTAGATATTACAAATAAGGGAAACCATGGGACCTACGTTTCTTTGGGCCTGGCTTACTTCACTTAATATAATTTTTTCCAAGTTTTTCCATTTCCTAACAAATGGGGCAATGTCATTCTTTCTGATGGAGGCATAGAATTCCATTGTGTATATATACCACATTTTCTTGATCCATTCATCTACTGAGGGGCATCTGGGTTGGTTCCATATCTTAGCTATGGTAAATAATGCTGCAATAAACATAGTTGTGCTGGTAGCTTTAGTGTGGTCTTGTTTGTAAACATTAGGGTAAATGCCCAAAAGTGGGATTGCTGGGTCATAGGGGAGCTCTATGTGGAGTCTTTTGAGGAACCTCCATACTGCTTTCCAAAGTGGTTGAACAAGTTTACATTCCCACCAACAATGAATTAAGGTTCCTTTCTGTCCACATCCCCTCCAGCATCTGTTGTTGTTAGAGTTCTTGATTTTTGCCGTTCTCACTGGAGTGAGGTGATATCTCAATGTTGTTTTGATTTGCATTTCTTTTATGGCTAGGGATGTTGAACATTTCTTCATGTGTCTATTGGCCATCCTTCTTTCTTCTTCAGAGAAGTTTCTCTTTAAGTCTTTCGCCCACTTATTTATTGGGCAGTTGTTTCTTTGAGGATTTGTTGTTGGGGGGTTTAATTTTTTGAGTTCCAAGTATATTTTAGATATGAGACCCTTGTCCGTTGTATGGCTAGTAAAGATCTTCTCCCAATCCGTGGGCTTTCTATTGATCTTGCTAGCTATGTCATTTGCCCTGCAGAAGCT